CAATCCCCTACGCCATGTTTGTTTGGGTGGACATGAGTTTGGGATTGGACTAATAATCCAATAAAATTATTAATCCAATGTTTGGTTAAACAATTGAAGTACAGACTAATTATTTTAAACTTGACTATTAGTTAAGATAGGATACATAATCCAACGAATTCGTAATCCTAGGACTATTAGTCATGGGAATGCTAATCCAATCCGCCCAAACAAACATGGCCTACTCTCTAGTCACCTAGGACAACCAGTTAGCTCAGGTCTACTTTGGGAATATATTATTTTAGTAATTTTTTTATTTTTTAACTAAAATTTGAAATAAAAAAATTAATATATTTAGAATGATTTTTTTATTTTTTATGAAAATATATATAAAAATAGATTAAAAAAAATCTTTAACTTTTTAATATAAACTATTAACTTTTTAATTTTTTTTAATATTTTTTAATTTTTAAACTAAAAGAATGAGTCGTGAAATGAGACAAAAATGTGCATGTTTTCTACATGAGTATATCACCCTATGTTCTTCTACGCTAATCATTTGACATCTAATTAAAAATGTTATATTTTATCTTTTATTTTTTTTAAATGTGTCAAAAAAATTTATTTTTTTAAATCCATCTTGTATAAAAGAATCTAAAATATATAAATAAATAAATAAAGTGCAGTAAAGAAAATAAAAATCTTTTAATTTTATTGTTTCGTCTAATTGAATAGAACCTAATATCTATAGCTTTTTGATTTTTTTTTTTTTAAATTCACTATAAATTTTTAAAATAAAAATAAAAATAAATTAGCAAAAAAATTATTTAAAAGTAATCAAAAACACTCATACTTAGGGGTGTTTTGGAAATGTAGTTAAAACCTGGCTTTTGGCTTTTGATCAAACTTTTTGACTTTTTTAAAAAGTAATTTGGGAAGTTAGTAAAAAGTTACTTTTGATTTTTTTTTATTAATATTTATTTATGATGTTACATCACAATCAAATGACCAAAATACCTCCACTCAATTTAGTAAATTTACATTTTTACCCTTATACAACCCTAAATAACATAAAGAGTATAATTATAATTTTATATTTGGCTTTTTAGACTTCTCAAATGACTTCATGCCAAAAAAGCCAATCTAGCTTTTTATCCCCAAGCTACGAAACAAAGCTTTTAAACTTGGTTCCCAGATGGGCACTTAGTCTTCGTTTGACATTGGCTTTTTTAGCTAGTTTTTTTATATTGAGACTTTTTTAATCTAATTTGGTTTGACTCTTTTGACTTTTGTGAAAGAAAAAGTATAATAATTATGATTTATATATGATATTTTATCTTATTAATTTATGTAGTTAATTTTATATTTTTGTACCTTTTTAACCAAAAATCCAAAACCAAACGAAGCTTTAGGCCAAGTTTGGGAAGACTAAATAAGTGCACTTTTTGACTTTTTTTATATTATGTGTAAAAAAAAGTAGAAAGGAGATGTTGATTGATGTGACCTAAAAAAGATAAAAAGATTAAATAAGTGCACTTTTTTAGATTAGCCAAACTTGATCTTAATACTTTCAATTGAAGCGCATATTGCAGATACCAAATGATTGACCACATTTTGGACCGTTCCCTCAGATTGGGTTGGGCCCACAGGCTCAACAACAAAGCGGCTCACTGGGTGGATAAGGCCCAAACTTCTAACTGGGCTTTCTATCCTCTAGCCCTTTTATTCCTCTTCATTCCTCCGATGTTCAGTTTGTTTCTTTTTAATGGAAAGTTTTGTTGTTAAAAAAAATAAATAAATAAAACTTAGTACATTTTCAAAGATCATACTTCAATATTTTATTTTTTATTTTTTTTAAAATTATTTTCTTATGTTTTCGGCGACCAGATGGGTGGTTAGCTCATTACGTATTTTATTTTTTTTGTTAACCTGCTGTATCCACAAAAATGGATGGGCCTTTTAGACTGAGGTGGCTTAGATAAACTAAAGGGGGATTTTATTTGAATTCAAAATATGTTTAAGTGTATTTAATTTAAATTTATAAACTTTCATTCTTATTATATGTTATTATGAGTTTATTAATAAAGACAACACATATTAAATCTTAAAATAATTATTTTTTCTTATGGTGCACGTTAATCAGTTATTCCTATTCAAATCTTTATATCTTTTTCCTCAAGAGATCAACGTTATTTCTTTTTCTTCTTCTTCTCCTCCTATTCTTCTTCATCCTCCCTCCAAAACTCTAATTCACCCTACCAAAACTCACCATCATCATCAACATCATTGTTTTTATTATTTTGAAACCCTAAACTCTAGAAGAAAGTTTGAAAAAAATAAAATAATAAATGAGAGTAATAATCAAAATAGTTTTTTGAAGCAACCCATAAAAAATGAGGTAAGTATTCATATAAAGGGATTTCAAAATTTTTGTAGAGCACCATCAATTATTTTCTATATCATTTTTTTGATAAAAATTAAAGGACCCAGTAGTTAGATTAATAATAACATATTATTAGAGTTGTTCTTATTTTGTCATTTAAATAATACATTGTTTGAGAATTACTTTTTCTTGTTAGTACTTGATACTTATGTACTTATAAGTTTGGTTTTATTTTTCTATGAGTATTCTTGTGAATAATTTATAATATAAAAGTTTTTTTCTGTATTGAAAAGTTTTATAATGCTTATGTAAAAGTTTAATTTTTTGTGTATTTATAATACTTATATGCTTATAAGTTTGATTTTTTTTGTATTGAGGATTATTTTATGTATTGAAAAGTTTTTGAAATTCTAGTTTTTTTTAGTTTGTTTATTATTTATTATTTGGGATTATCTTGAGGGTAATTTGGGAAAAATAATAGGGTGTAATGAGAGTAAAATAGATTTTTAAATAATTAAACATGACATACCTAGAAATTGAGAGTACTTAATGATTTTTTAGGTGTAAATAGAATCCTCCTACACTAAAGTGAAATTAAAAAAAAAAAATCAATTTCATTTTAGTCTCTTTAGTTTTTTTGCATGTATTATTTTTTCATTCAAAATATTAACAACGGGTGACAAGGGGACAACATCATAATAAAACTAAAAGTATAAAATTCAAATTGTTTAAATTAAAATTACTGGTATTAAAATGAAGTTTCACTTAAATTATATAGATTAATGGTCTAATTTATTCCCAAAAAAAATTTATATTTATTTGGGGCATCTTATTTATTGTCATTTAGTTTTAATGGGAAAATAAATGCTAGTATAGCTAATCACATTTTTCGGGTAAGAAAAAAAACAAAACTTTGTTAGCGCTGTAACAACTGAAATTGCCCACAAAACACGTACAATGTGAACCCATAAATGTGTCACCCTAATCATCTAATTAATTTCTAAACCGCTTCTTAACAACAATTTTGCAGCCCCATCTTAAAAAAAAACAACAACAATTTTGCTGTAACACACAAATCGAACACACTTAACATAAATGTGTGAAATCTTACAAAATTTATTGGTGAAACTCATTTATAAAATTAAAAAAAATAAAAGATCATTTATTTATTGGTTTGGTTTATTTATTTAAATTTTATGTTCAATTTTGTAATTGATATTATCTTCCTAAATTTATTCATCATCAATTTTGCTGCATACACAAGAATGAGTAAGAATGTTACGAATTTAATTTGTTTGTGCTACACACTTCCGTAAATATTTGTCTATTATATATACATTCTATGTCCGCCTTTATGATTGTTTTTATTTTGTATTCTTAAAACGTATCTAATCCTTTATTAAAAATAAAAATAAAATAAAAAAATCATCAAATTATAATTTGATGAAAAATTGCTAAAAGTGTGTTTCAACCATTTCATTAAATTTGTATCATATCAAAGGGTGATAATTTTTCACCAAATTAAAGATAAACAAAATCATTCACCACATTTTTCAATCTCAACTTTTTAGTCTAAAAAGATAAAAAGTGCACTTATTTAGGACACCCCAAACAACCCCTTAATTTGTTAAATTTGTGCTACACACTTCCGTAAATATTTGTCTATTATATATACATTCTATGTCCGCCTTTATGATTGTTTATTTTGTATTCTTGAAACGTATCCAATCCTTTATAAAAAATAAAAATAAAATAAAAAAATCATCAAATTAAAATTTGATGAAAAATTGCTAAAAGTGTGTTTCAACCATTTCATTAAATTTGTATCATATCAAAGGGTGATAATTTTTCACCAAATTAAAGATAAACAAAATCATTCACCACATTCTCAACAGTCATATTTTTAGTCAAATTTAATGAAATCTTAAAAATAAAATAAAATAAAAAAAGTGTAAGAATTGAAATGGTTTTCTTTTATCAAAAATGGTTAAGATAAGTTTTTAAGATAAATTTGAATTTTTTCAAAAAAAATTTATATCAAGTCCATCTTTTAACCAAATTTAAATAAAACAAAGAAAAGAAGAGAGAGAGAGATTGCCACCATATCTTCCTTAAGACTTAGTCCCAAGGAGGTCATGGGTTCAATTTTTCTTAGGGAGTTGAATTAAGGGAGTGCAAGCACTTAGGTGCTTTGTCAAGGGTAGAGAGATTTTCTTCCATAGGTACTAATCTAATAACTAACAACTAATATTTACCGATCAAAAAAAAAAAACAAACAAACAAACAGATTAAGGATTATTAGACATATTCTTAGACTGACCATGTTTGGAGAGTTTGGTTTTTAGTTGAAAAGGCACAAAAATGCTATTAATTATTATATCATTTTTTTTAGTTTTTGAATATTTTTTCGTAAAAAATTAATTAAAATAGTTAATTCTTAAATAGCCCTTAATCTATAAATTTAAGAATAATATTAGGAATCATAAAAAAAATATCATAAAATGTATCATGAAGATTTTTCATCCGTTGATTAGTGTGTGATGTTTTATTGTATATATAATCTAAAGATGGAGGATATTTCATCATATTTTTTTATGTGTAATTCTGTGATGAATGTATGTTTCATAAATTCAAGTCCTATATAACAAGAACACCAAACCAAGCACACCAACACGGTCTCCATGGCTACTACAACCACCATACACTACTCCATCCTCTTCCTCATTGCTTCTCTCTCACCTCTCATCTTCCAACAACCACATTACAACTCTCTGGTCCAAGCAAATGACTGGCTCATACAAGTAGAGTGTCACAACGCAAAGGTCCCCGCAACATGCATCCAGTGCCTCCACTCCGACCACCGCAGCACCCATACCACCAACGCCGCCACCATCGCCGCCATCCTCCTCAACTGCCTCAGCAACCACGCCACCAACTTGGCCGGCAACATATCAAATTTAAAAACTTCTAAACACGACATGGTTTCGATGAAGGTGTACCACGACTGTACTCGATTGCTAGTGAGTGCGAAGAAGGAGATAGTTGAAGCTGGTGTGAAAATTGACAAGGGCGATTATGATGGTGCTGATCACTGTGTGTTCATTGCGTTCAGTTATTGTGTCCAGTGTCATACTGAGATTGATCAAGATGGAAGGAGGACTAAAATCGATGTTCCCATGAAAGTTGAGTATGAAATTAATGTTCTTGAAGAGCTTTGTGAGGCTTCCATGAGAATTATCGAGCGACTCAAGTGAATTTCTGAATAAGTTTTCTTGGATTCGAAATGTATGTTTCGTTTTCAGTATTGTAACTAAGATGAATGGGTTTTGAGAAAATAAAGGGACAAATGGTTACCAAAGTGTCTATTATATTGTAATTTAGTTTTTTATTTTTTAATTTTACTAATATATTTAAATTGGTTAATAGGATAGCAGAGTATTTTCGAATTTTATCACCCAAAAAATAAAATAACAAAATTAAAAGATGAGGGACTACATGCCCAAATGCAAAGTAGATACTTCCGAGATCATGTATTTGATCTATTTTAAAATTACAAAGATTACAATTTGATCATTTTCTTAAGTCTTTGTGTAAAATTACAAAAATACTCTCATTCTTGTTTATTAATTTAGCCGGCATGAACATTAGGGAACATTTTAACTCACATTGTATGGTTTGTAAATTAAATTGACAAAATTATAAATGAAAAGAGAAAGAAAGAAAGAAAGAAAGAAGTGAACTAAATATAATAAAATACACATTTTAGAGATTCTTCGGATAATTAGTCCGAAAATAAAATAGATAGCCTGGTTCTTTGTCAAGCTTGAAGTATCCATTTACAACAATGCTAAAATTATGATTTGGAGTGTGCACAGCAATTACACAGTTGGAGGCAATTAATTCATCAGAATAGACAAATTTGATCTAATTTAATTGCTTGTTAGTTTATAATAACACAATTAGAGAAAAAAAAATTTCCTATAGATAACACCAGAGTTGGTGAGTAGATTAATGAATAATAAATAAACTCTAACGCATAGAAATGGGGTGTGTACCACTTTTGTGTGCGTAGCACAGCTGGATTATAAACAAAAAGTAAGTTTATTTTCAATCATAGAAATTAATTTCACGGTCTAATTTGTCATTTTGCTGGTATTGTGTTGTCAGTTTTAATGATATGATTCCATTACTTTTCAGATGTGCCAAATCTTTTACTAAATTTAAGTAAAAAAAAATTAATTTTTTCAATTTGATATGATTTGCTTCAACCGTGCATCAAAAGAGAAGGGTCGACCGGTAAGGACAATTTTTTTTATTTTTTTTACCTGTTTAAATCTTTTTTGACCGGTTTGAACCTACCTATTTAAAAGGGAACTGGTCGGCCGGTTGGTCTACCGGCCGGACAACCAGCTAGTTGACTGGTTGGCCCACCCCAACGGTAACGCACAGTGAAATGGTGAAATCTGGAGCCTGTTCTCACTTTGATGAATTTTTTGTTCCATTCTCATTTTGATACTAATTTGGTGAAACCATTGGAGCTCCAAAAAGTGACTTTTTCACTAAAATTCAAATCTGACGCAAAGTTTAATAAATTGTTGGAGATGGTCTTAGTGATCTTTTGGGAAGCTGGTAAAAAGTTAACTTTCAGCTTTTTATCAATTTTGGGTCACATCACCTCTCTCATAGCTTATTCACAAAAAGACAAAATAAATTAAAAAAACTAAAAAGCTAACTTTTTGTCAACTTCTCAAAACATCTCTTAGGCTTCGTTTGGAAAGTAGATTGGCTTTTTGACTTTTTTGGCTATTTTAGTCTGGGCAAAAAAACTTGGTTTGGGAAAGGCTTTTTAGCTTTTTTGACTTTTTTTGTGAGAGAATAATGTAATGATTATGGATTGAATGTGATGTTTTATTTTTTGTGACTAAAATAGCCTATTTTGTCTTTTATGACTAAAATAATCCAAAAAAATCTCAAATCCATCTTCCCAAACGGAGCCTTATAAAAAAATAAATTAATTAGTTAATTGTAGTCACATATTTAATTGCATTTGTTACTTAAAAATGAATGATAAATATAATTTTTAGATATTATTATCCACTTCTTTTAAAATAATTTAGTTGAGTTTCCAGAATATGTTTTCTAAAAATTTTCAAAGAATAGCTTAGTATATAAAAAATAACAAAAAAAAAATATTATTTTCATATGATTTTCTCTTTTAAGAGGCATATTTTTTTATAAAAAATTAAAATATCAATTTTTTATTTATTTTATCAAATTAAATCAATACCCGAACCCATATACCCCAACGGGAGAACTGCGGTATGTAAGCCCAGATTCCCTAACTTAAATCTTACGAAGCCCATTACTTATTGGGCTTTTGTTATAAGATCAAAAAAAAGTCGATTTTTGTCTTTTGTTTTTTTATTAAAAAGTCATTAAGCTATTTTTTAAAAAATTAAATGCAACATCAATTTTTTTACTTGCAAAAAATAACTACTTTAATAGCTTTAACTTCTAAAGAAGTCAAAAAATCACAAAAAATAAAACCAAAAAAAAAAAAAAAAAGATCAACCCAAAATGTGCAAAGGAAAATACTACTCAAACTACATATTTCATAAGTCTTTTTAATGGATGTGTCAGGCAATAATGAACCTTCAAACTTTGAAATAAGCCCCAATCTAATCCTATGATAAGTGCCACTTCAGCAATTTCAAAAAAAAGCTACCACACACAATATGTGCCTTACCACAACATATGGAACATAATCACAATGTTCTGTAACAAATACTATATTTCTTGCCAAAATAATTCGTAACATTTACACATTTAATGTCACATTGTTTATCAAATAACCATCATGTTCCTAACATAACTATAATAATTCATAACTTTCACTTTAAGAGTGTACATAGATTCATCATTCATAACTTATACCACAAAGTAACATCATACATACCACGAACATTCAGAATTTTCTTATTATAAAGAGGGATGAGCAGAGTAGCATTTTTCAACAAAAAAAAAAAATTTTGTAAGAATTTTTAGTTTGTAGGGAGAGTACTACATACACCCCTTGAAAAATTATATACTATAGGCACAGTCACTTCTAACCATTAAATCTAAGCCATTAATTTGATTCAAAGCCAACGCTATTGTAGATGGTAACCAAACACCACTAAATTCATAACCTAAAAAAAAACTACTATTGTGGATCATTACAAAAGATTAATATGAGTTACAACCAAGTAATATTACATTCATACGTCTTCGTATTTTGATGTGACAAATTTTTTTATTTTAAAATTGTCTCTCTCCTTAAATTGGAGGAAAACTTAAATTTGCAATAAAGCAATTTTTTTGTAAACCAAACAAAGATCCTTTTTCAAAATAGAGTTTTCAAATCACTTTTTGAAAAAAAATAATTCAAAAAAATAAAACCAAACGTGATGAATATAATCTTACAAAATACCACAAAAAATTATAACCAAGACGTCTAAGAGAATAACCGGGTATATGGTTCACAAGCAAGAATTCTCCTAGTTTGTACAGAATTACTCACGCCTAAAATAGTCATGCAAAATGGCACACTCTCTGAAGTCTCAACCAACAAACCAACATAATATATATATATATATATATATTTTATCACATTCATACTATCTCATCAAAAAAGTAGCAATCCCTCAATTACAAAAAATAATCACATAGGTCCATAGGTCCATTTTATATTCTACGTGATATGTCCTTATAATTCTAATGATTCTATACCCACTACTTCCTATTTTTCTTCTCCTATATAGTACATAGAACAACTACTATTATCTTGGACAAACAGCAATAAAATTCCTGAAACACAGAATAATTCATCCTCAGTTACACTTACAACCAACAAACAAGGCAACTTTACCATCAAATAATTCTTAAGGGATTAAATTAAAACAAATAAATTAAATTGTTATTAGCTTCGTGATGCAATTAGATGTTTTACCTAAAAATCAAGCAGAGTTATTAAACTCAAATAATTTTTTTCATTTACGAAAAGTAAATTCATAATTTGAACGAGCGATTTACACTGCATCACATGTACTACAATAAAAATATAAAAATGTAAACATAAGAAATGAAAGAAAATTCAAAATTAATAAACATACCTGATATTGGCATAACTAATGTCGAGCAATTAAGGCTATCAAATTGCCACGCATAACTCTTGTGGGATTTTTATGTAAGATCGGATATGAACATTATAAAAGCCCAGCCTGTGGAAGATAATAACAAGAAATAACTTACAAGTTTCAAAGCTCCAATGGTTTTCATTAGGTATCATGAGATATTGTCAGTTGTAGTTTGTTTTCTTTCCATGATCTATTAAAGGTGGAGTCGAAGACAGCACAAAAGCCGTCTGCCAACAAACTGGCCGGTCATTGGTATGCTACCGGGACTGCTTCAAAACGCTCACCGCTTGCACGAGTTTGTGACAGAGCTTGTGAAGGAAAGTGGGGGCACATTCATGTTTGAAGGCCCTTGGTTTGCTAACATGGACATGCAGGTTGGGCGATACTGCCAACATCCAGCACATCTTGAACAATAACTTCTCAAACTTTCCAAAAGGCCCTGCATTTAATAGGATCTTCAACATTTTGGGAAATGGAATTTTCAATGCGGATTCTGAATTCTGGGAAACCCCGAGGAAAACCGCAATGTCACTGTTCAACCACCACAGGTTCCAAAAGTATGCGGCAAAAACTAGCTGGAACAAAGTGGAAAAGGGGCTAATCCCAGTTTTTGAGCACGCCTTGGAGCTTGGAACAGAGATGAATTTGAAAGAGTTATTTCAGCACTTCACTTTCGATAGTACATGCATATTGGTTTTGGGTCATGACCTAACTTCCCTCTCTACATTGGCTTACCAGATGTTGCATATGAGAAGGCATTCACTGATGCTGAGGAGGTTGTTTTATACAGACATGTATTGCCAGAAAGTTTTTGGAAGCTGCGACTGTGGCTTCACGTTGGCAAAGAAAAGAATTACAGTAAAGCTTGGGAGACCCTTGGTCTGTTTATAGCCCAGTGTATCTCATCAAAACGTAAGGAATGAAGAAGAAGAAACACAACCCAAATGGTGGAAGACCGAGACGAGGCTTTTGATCATGACTTATTAACTGCTTACATGATGAAAAATGACGTATTTGGTGATTCTGCAGATAAGTTTCTAAGAGACAGCATACTTAATTTGGTTTTTGCAGGGAGAGACACCACTAGTGCAGCTCTCACATGGTTCTTTTGGCTTGTTGCAACAAACCCTTCTGTAGAGAACAAGATTCAAGAAGAGATCATCACGAAATTGCATCCAAAAGAAGATAATAGATTTGTCTTACGTTTTTCCAACATAAATGATCAGGAGATGGAGAAACTGGTCTGCCTTCATGGAGCTTTGTGTGAATCCTTACTGCTATTCCCACCAGTACATATACAGCACAAAGCTTCACTTCAACCAGACATTGCAAATACAAGAATGTTATTAGGTTTCTATGCCATGGGAAGGATGGAGACAATTTGGGGAAAAGATTGCATGAAGTTCAAACCAGAGAGATGGATTACGGACCAAGCAGGGATCAAACGTGAACCATCTTACAAGTTCATAACATTTAATGCAGGACCAAGGTCCTGTTTGGGGAAGGACATGACTTACATCCAAATGAAAACTAATTGCAATTGCAATTATATATAATTATAACATTCAAGTGGTAGATTCTCGTGCTATTTCCCAAAGTAGCTTTGTCATACTGCATATGAAAGATGGTTTGAAGGTTAGGGTTACCAAAAGACGTGTTTGATGCATGCCGAAGTAGTACTGTTACTCCAATGACAATAAAGTGTGAGATGTTTTTTATTTGTAACGTTAAATGATAGCCTCTGTTATATGAATTAATTACAAATTGCAATATAATTTCACAAAATGAATAAAGAAGTAATTTTGTTTTCTAAATTTGTAGGAGATAGTTCATTAATATTATGAGAGTTACATGTACTTGATACTTATCTCTATTAAGCTAATACAACAATCATGTCTAATTGTGAAACCCAACTTTCAATCATGCAAGTTCCAGTGTCTTACTATCAGTCCCAATCATGGGGGATTTGAGCTCTTGATATTTAAATCTGAACCCATGCCCTTGAACCACATGGGTTTTAGTGGGTATATCAATTAAAAGCAGCAATATGAAATGTAAGAATGTCATAAAATGTCATAATAATCACTTCAGCCAGCACCCAAGTCTCAGTTTATTGGCTTTCTGCAGAATTACATAGAGACCCAAAATTGGCCTCCATCCATGTCTCTCTTAAACAGTGATATACAACTTCCCAATTTGGAATGACCATGCACTATCTTCTTCCCAATTACGTAAGCACATATACATACATATGCACATATATTTGTGTATCTCCGGAATGTAAATCTGGCCATGTATTTTAGACCAAGTGTGTGTGCTATTTTGACAATCGTGAAGCAGCAACTCAGAGCAGAACAGTGCTCGATCATTGTGGTAGGTCTCTCATAGGCAAACTATCAAACATGTTGTGGCCACGGCAGTATAAGTCAACATATCAGCACTTTTCTTCACCCCCATTGCCACTTTGCTTCTCATTTCTAATTAAGGATCGCAATGATGGAGGGCCTATGTTAGGTAAAACAGATAATCATATCCAATCTGATTTCTCCGAAGACAAATGAACGGAGAAATCAGATTGGACTTTCAGCCGCCTGACCCCATTGTTGTCTCCGAATAAAAAGGTAACACATTTGGGTCATGTTTGGTTGTATGATTTTTTTAATAAAATTAAATATAATCAGCTTGTTTGATTCTGATTTTTAGAAAATAATTTTAAAAAAATTTTACTTTGTATTTTCCATATTTTAATGATTTTTTTTAATATTTTAAGTAATTTTTTTTAATTTTTAGACACACCTAACATAAATACACTTATAAAGTATAATATTTATGGAAAAAAAATTAAAAATACACTAAATATCAAAAAGTACAACAAAAATTCAGCACATTTTATATTTTTGAGTATTTATTAATTTTTTAAAATATTTTTTCACAAATATTTTACTATTTAGATACATCTAAGTAAGGTGCATTTAAAAAAGTAAAAAAAAAATGGTTAAAATTTAAAAAATATTCACTAAAAACCAAAAAAAAATATGAAAAAACAAAAAACTCAATTTTTAAAAAATTTAATTCATAAAACTAAAATCAAACACACTAAATAATTTTATTGAAAAAGTTGTGAGAGTAAGTTATGTTGTGAAATGATATGAGGTGTAATATTGTTTATATTTTTTTCCAAAAAAATGATGCCTCATTTGGGAACAAGTTATGTTAATAATTTTTTAATTTTTTATAAAAAAATGTATAGAAAAATAGAGAAAGTGACGTGATTATTTATAATAACTTTTTAACTAAAATATGTAGTTATCAAATGAAACCTGAATAAATGATTTGATTATGATTGCCAATAAGATTACAAGTTTATAAGTTTTGGTGGAACTAGTAGATGAAATAAAAATAATAATAATTTTGAATATAGAGAATGAATTATTATATTTGTTTATAGGGACATAAAAATATATCATTATTTTTTATCATGAGATGAGGGAAATAATAAAAAAATTATAATTATTTTCTCCTAATACCACAATATCTATATAGTTTTATTTTATTTTTATTTTATTATATTAAATGCTACAAACTAATGTTAAAATTGTTTAAAATTTTAATATCATACAAAATAAATACCCACTAATAATAAATGTGAAATTCACATGTTTTTCACATGTTTCTTACTTCTAATTCCTCATCATTATCACACAAAAATTTGAAATTAAAATAGATGTAGCCCCACATTGCCACATATCCATTTTCATCCTTCTATCTGTCACGATCCAACTCCAACACTTAGGCTGAATTCGTATTTAACTAAATTTTAAAGATACCAAGGTTTAATTAAATTAAACAAATTAAATAATACAGTGAAATAAAACTAAAATTCAAAAAAAAAATGTCTATAAATGTTTAAGGCATACATAGAAACTTTTATTGATGTAACACAAGTTAATAATTATAAGTAAACAACAAAAAAAAATAAAGGAAAAAAAAAAAACGATATTCATTTCATGTCTGGATCCCGGTTAAAGGGGTTAAACAATTCCTCTTTAAGTTTCTCTACCTGAAAAAGGTTTAACAGTTATAAGTATATGACAGAGTGAAAAATATTATATTAAGAGCATAAGGATACATAATTCAACATAGATAATTATTTAGTGTAAACAATGAATAGTTTAACTTGAGTAAATCAATTATTTTAAATAACAGACGTATAATACAAAAATCATATAAATGAGTTAACCATAAGATTACATCCCTAACCATAACCACAATATAGAATAAAATAGATGGTCAATAGGTCCATGATAGACAAAGGGTCACAAAATGACCAATAGTTATTTAAGTTCCCAAAGCGTAGGACTCTCAAAAAGTCACTAAAGTGACTAATTAGAGGGTAAATGATTATTTAAGTTTCCCAATATAAAAGACATCTATGGTAATACTTACAAAATAATTATTCAAAAGAACATTTAATAAATAATTATATCCATAAATTTCTATTTTTAAACAAATAATATTCATAAAATAAATAACATAATTATAATACTAATACAATTTAAATATATAATTTATATAAAATAATAAAATAATTTTAAAATTATTCAAAATATAATATAATTCACCGTAATATCAACGCTTATTATTATCAATTTCCTCCGAATCTCCTAACCCACCCCTTACTTCTATTTCTGTTCTGTGATGCCTCTGTTTATTACCTCATCCTCAACCCCTTTCCCTATATACTTGTCCGAGGAAGTGACTAATTAGAGGGTAAAGGATTATTTAAGTTTCCCAAGATAAAAGACATCTATGATAATACTTACAAATTAATTATTCAAAAGAACATTTAATAAATAATTATATCCATAGATTTCTATTTTTAAGCAAATAATATTCATAAAATAAATAACATAATTATAATACTAATACAATTTAAATATATAATTTATATAAAATAATAAAATAATTTTAAAATTATTCAAAATATAATATAATTCACCGTAATATCAACACTTATTATTTTCAATTTCCTCCGAATCTCCTAACCCACCCCTTACTTCTATTTCTGTTCTGTGATGCCTCTGTTTATTACCTCATCCTCAACCCCTTTCCCTATATACTTGTCCGAGGTGCTGACACCTCAAGCCAAATTCTCCCTTACTCATTAGGTTTACACGTGGCACAATTCTGCTGCATCCAGCAATGTTCTCTTAAGCCTCCTAAACTTATCAACAGATTACACTCATTATATTTGTGCCACCTACCAACTCTTGTTAAGTAATTATACTTGGACCCCAAGTAATATAATAATTACATCATCCTCTCTTGATACCATACCATAATTCCTAATTAAATGAAGTTATATTTTAACACACATAACTACTAAATTAGATAAATTATTATTATTTTATCTATATATATTATTTTTTTTATCATTATTTTTTAATATTAATGCGATGTTAAATTTAATTAAGTATTTAGAGTGTCACAATATCCATGTAAGAAAGAGCTATAGGTAGAGAGTGAGGGATTCAATTGGTCGAGGACATTAAGAATAGTGGTAAGAGATGTAGGCCGTGGTGGTCAAAGGAAATTAAATGATATAATTGATGGTAGTTAACAAACAAACAAACAAAAAGTGGATAGTGAGATCTCCAAATGATAATGGATGATGGAGAAGATAATGAGTAGTTGGCAATCTAAGTAGTGGTTGATGAATGGGAAGGGATATGCGCGATAGTAATCAACAAATAGTGGATATTTAAAAGAAATGAAAGTAGGTGGTGAATGATGCAAGTGATAATGGACATTAGAGATAGCAGTAAATAGTGGAGAATCTAGTAATAGCCAGTGAAGGTTAAGATATTTAGATAGAAGTATACATTGAAAATAGAAATCGATAGGTAAGGATTTGGGTGGTAATGGTTGCCGAAGATGTGAGTTGTGGAATGGAGATGTCGAAGGGGTTGTTTATAAAGAATTAAGCAAATGAAGAATGAAGGTACTCGAGACAAATAATTAGACATGATGGAGAAGTACAAAAAGATAAAAGGAGCCAACAATATGATTGGAAATGATTTAAAGAACCTTTTTTTGAGGAGGAGAAAAATCAAGATCATTCATAGAAATATAAGCAAAAGTCATACAAACATAACAAAGTGAAATCAGCCTTTAGACACAACTAACTTGACTTCCTTATGAGTCGTTTTAATTACCTGTTGTTGGCACCATAAATCTGCAATTATTATTATTATTTATTATTTATATAATTGCAGGACATGTGGCATTCTCCTACTCGTTTGGATGTTATGAGAAGTTATGAAATGTGACAAGATGATGGAGAATAAAACCTAACCTTGAAACTTCATTATAGTATCATCATCCTATATCAATACTTACAACCTTCGAGGGGTGATGTTGTTCCTTCAAAGTTGTGCCGCAAGACCTTCGAACAATGAATTTGGCCTTTTATACCACCTTCGAAACTTGTTATTGGTCATCTAGTCATAATTTCATGCTTATTCGAAGCACTTTATTGGTGCTATTATATCATTCGAAACACTTTATTGATATTATTCGAAACACTTTATTGCTTAGATTAGTCATGTGTTTGGTTTCGCCCTTCAAAAATTCAAGTAAATATCATTTTTAAGGGCCACGGGGAGTAATGTTGACACCATAAATCTACAATTATTATTATTTATTATTTATATAATTACAGGACATGTGACATCCTCCTACTCATTTGGAGGTCATGAGAAGTTATGAAATATAAAAAGATGATGGAGAACAAAGTGGAGAACATAGAGTATGAATTAGAGGTTAAAGGAAGTTATGAAGACATTGAGGGATATGTGGCATTGTGGGAATGAAAATGGAAGAGTAGGTAGTTTTAGGTGGTTATTATGTAGTTATTGCTGGAAGTTTTTTCCTACAAATATTTGCCTATAAATAGTCATTCATGGCTATATTGTAAAGGATCCATAATTCAAATCAAAGACAATTGATTTCAATATTTCTTGTCATTTTCCTTATCTTAGGAGTAGTTTAACATAGATTTATAGTTTGAAGCATTTATTTTCAGCACTTCCTTTTCGAAACATCTTGTGTACTTCCTTTTCAAAGCATAGGAGTAGAGGTAAATAATTATTACTGTGATTGTTCATTCAATCGTCTTTCTCCATCTCGCTCATTCTTCTTTTAATTTTTATTTTCTCTACACTTGGCAATTTTGAAGTTTTCTTTGGTGAGGCAAAAGAACCGTCAACACAATCGCTTGATAATTGACTTGAATTTAATCTGTAAAGATATTTCAATCCTTACTAACACACTCGCATTTATAATATTTTTCTTCGTAGGAAAAATAAGCCAATACCTGCCTAGACATCTTAATTATACATGCATAATCAAAACAATTAAAAAGATAATTTATATCTTTCAAAATAGAGAATTTTGTATCTATTGAAAGTTAGTTTTTATAAAATGCAAATGCATATACTAAAATTTGATTTTTGCAAAAAGTTTGTTATCACTAAAAAAATAATTTATTTTCAAAAACAACAATGCTAGGGGGCCACAAATTATGTGGCTCAAATAGTTCAAAACTATCAAAACGACATCGTTTTGGGTGCAAAACAAGTCAAAACGACAATTTCAGACCATTTGAATCACAAAATTTGTGACCACCAAATATTTTCTTTTCAAAAATGATTCATCAAAGTTTTTAAAATAAAAGTCTAAGTTGCTCTAGGTTCATGTCAAGTCAAGTCGAGTTAGGGTCAGATTAGTATCGCATGACATTTTCCGTCATTGAGTTGGATGGAAGTTACTAATTGAATTGCATTGAAAAATATAAATAATTTAGGGATTAGATTTAAAATATATATTTAAAGGATCAAATGAGAAGGATCAAATGAGAATAAAATCTAAAATTTAGGGGCAAAATATAATTTACCAAAAAAAAGAAACATTTGATTCCGAAGCATCGTCAATTGGCCTATAATTGCTCCCGCCCGAGACCACAAAAAAAAAAACCCCAGCAACGCAAGCACCTGTCTATTTCTTCCAGAGATTTATACCTCCTCCTCCTCCTACTAGATATCTCCTCCTCGGAATCTCCCATTTTCTGATTTCTTATCTCTATATTTATACGCAAATCTCTCTCTCTCTCTCTCTCTCTCTCTCTCTCTCTCTCTCTCTCTATATATATATACACTTTTGTGAAAGATTGATCATTCAATTTATGTATTGTGCAATTTGATCCATTTTTCTCTGATTTTTTTGGGGGGTAGATTTTACTTAAAAAGTGTGTCTTAATTATTTGATTGAATAAATCGGCCTTTGACTCAGTGAGAGCGATTGATAAAATCACAAGTAACAGAGATTAATGGCGACTGCTGCATCGGCGCCGGTGAACAAGATCGAGAGGGCTCACCAGATGTATCGCGAAGGGCTGTACGAGGAGGCCTTGGGGTTCTATACTGAAGCCCTTGGTTTGGCCAAGACCAAGTCCCAGAAGATCGCCCTCCACAGCAACCGAGCCGCTTGTTTTTTGAAATTGCACGATTTCAAGCAGGTTCCCCCCCTCTTTCTCTCTAATTCGACTTTGTTTTTTATAATCGGAATAGATGTATATTTTTGGGGAATTGCAAATCAGAGGGAAGAAGAAGTCAAAGTAATTGTAAAAATATGCAAGTGTAAGTATAGTAGTCTATGCACGGTGTAATTAAGGCCACACCTTGATATTTTTACAATTATTTTTTACTTCCTGGTTTCTAATTCCCTATTTTCTGATGGGTTGTATTGTATGTATATAGTTAGGTTTGCAATTGACTATGTTTTGTTTAGCTTATGTGACATTGTTCAATATAGTAAATGGTCACCTAAATGATTTTAGTTCACTCAACTTTGAATAAGGGATGAATGAAGCTGTTCAGTACTACGCATGCGTAGTTGGAATTGATGTGTATTTATTTATTTATGATGACAAGATGCATTTGTTGTGTGTATACATAGGTATACATTAGTGGCAACTACTAACAGAAAACAAAACTACAAATTTTGATTCTTTGTTATTTAGGTGGAGACACTCTGTAAGCAGAAAACTGATTTGCTATGTTGCTTTGACAACAAATGTGGCTATACACACCTTTCAAGGACCACAAGGAAACAAGTTAATAGAAAAAACACTATTCATCGTAACAGGAATGCAGATGAAACATTTAGAATGAAATTATTTACGTTGTCTGACAGAAGCAGGCAGTTTTAATTTCTATTCAATGCCTTAAGTTCAAGCTCAATTGGCTTCAATTCGATTTGCCAGTGTTGTTTGCAAGGGCTTGAGTTCAGTTTGGACCAAGGTACTATTTATGCCCAAGCTGAGTGGCTTGGCCAAATGGAACAAGGACCCTGACCAATTTAGCCTGAGGTACAGCCTTAGTGTGGATACTGCTAGGGGGTTGTCATTGCAGTGCATTGATGAAATGATGAATGAGTGACACCGCAAAGTGTAGTTACCTTTGTTGAAGTTCCAAGTTTGCTAAAGTTATTGCAGCACTGTGCTGAAAATGTTGCTTTGGCATCCAAAATGCAAGGTTTGGGTTCTAGTTCCAAGTTTTTTCACTTGCTTAAGTAAATTTCTAGTTCAGAACTATGACTGTTTACTACTTAGAAGCTTGTAGGGTTCAAACCCGCTTCAAAGTAATTAGGTTACTGCAACTAACAAACAATTGTGACACTGACAGGATACGCGTTGCAGGAAATGCTATTGGAAGAGAAATATCAAAATTAACATGTGTTGTGATAGTAAACGAAGTTATGGTAGCATATAATTTTAGTGAATTTGTGATGCTATATAGCAGAAATTGATCAAGTTATTGATTTTTGTTGAGTTGTCCCATCGATGCCTTAAGGTATTATGTTGGGAACTGTGTATTTTTGGAGCATATCTGTCACATTAGCTTCATGTTGGGGCAATATACCTCTTTTGCTTTGATAGGAATTTAATGTTCTGTTAAAATACCTCTTTTGCTTTTTCTATATATAGCCTACTATGGACTGAGCAACTCTTCTTATGCTTTCATGGTAAATTCAGCTGACATTCTCTGTACTGTACCATCTTAGGCAGCAGAGGAGTGTACCTCAGTCCTTGTGCTTGACCATGATCACACCGGAGCATTAATGTTGCGAGCCCAAACTTTGGTCACACTCAAGGAGTACCACTCAGCACTTTTTGATGTCAACAGGCTCACGGAGTTGAACCCATCATCAGAAGTGTATCGAAACCTTCAATCCCGTTTGAAGACACAATTGGTAAATCTCTCAACAACAACAACAAAAAAAAAAACAAAAAGTAAATGGTGGTCCATTCCGTGTTCTTTAATTTTTTTGGTTTCAATTTATTGACCGAGATTTAACTAATAACTTGGTAGCTAATCAATAAGGGCACTGCCAGGATATGGTATCACGGTTCATAAGGCTTTTGACTAGTGATGATTCTAGTAGCCTGTGCTGTTTTATAATCTGAGTAAATGTAGTTACTCGGATCATATATGGATGAACACAATTACCTGCTATGCTCGGCATCTGCAAGCTTTATAGTTTATTCTACCTTCCTTTTTTAGGAGCTTTCTATTCTCAATAGTGGCGTCATTCTTTTCCCCAATAAACTTTTTCCCAGTTGGATAAATAAAAACAACTATCCATAATGACTTTACGTACCTGGTTACATGGTCATCCAGTTTTGATTGGCTTTTGATATAATAACATAGACGTCACGTCTCGTGTGGTGGGTTTGAGTTTGTTGATTACAAGAATTACATATGGACTTTTAAATATTTTTAGAGGCAGTTCTGGTCAGCTCAGCTTGTAGTCAACTCTTTGGATTGATATGCAGAGCCTGTTGTCTACAAAATGGGAAGTCCGAGCAGCCTTATTTTCTAACTGATCCAAATTGCTTTTATATCACCTTTGAGTTATTCTACAATAGTATTTGGAAAAATCGTGGTGCAAATTGTGATTTTATTATTGTTGAATTTTGGGCTGACATTATAATAGTTTTCAATTATTGATCTTTAAATTGTCAATAAGATGTGGTAATTTTTTTGATCAAGGAAAGTCACTTGCTCCAATACCTGAAGCTGAGGCAGAGTTTGAAGAAGAGGATGAAAATGAAGAAGAGGATGAAAGCAAAGAAGAAGCAGAACCAAAAAGAGATGAGGAAGAAATACACGAAGAAAACGATTTGGTAGATTCAGAAGTAGAGGTAGATCAAATGAGTGATAGGTCTACTGATGCTGAAGTTTCTGCCCCTCAAACTCAGAGCGTCAAGGGAACATCTGAACAAAATTCGAAAGGATGGCAAACAATCCCAAAACCCAAAGGACACTCACAACTCGACTACTCAAGGTGGGACAGAGTTGAAGATGAATCTAGTGAAGAAGAAGATGATGATGATGATGAAGAAGAATCTCAGCCTCAATATCGGTTCCGTGTGAGGACTGTTGGTGTACGACCAGTTAAGTGAAAGGGCGAATGTATACACTGTAAGGTCATATAAATTGACTCTTCTAATCCTCAAACCATCCACATGGTGTTGTAAGCGGTCTTACCAAAAGCGCCAGTGGGTTCAACTGCCTGAAGCTATGATTTGAAGCCTTGTGAGCTGCAAGAAATCATCTTTTATGTGGAGAAGGATGTGAAAGCTGTAAAAAGGGGCAATTTGTGAGCAAATTGAAGCAGACAACTTCTCAAGCAAGACACAGGGTGGTTATTCCCATTAGGAAACAATTTAATTTCTTCAGGCTGCCAAAACCAAGTGGAGAGACTACCTGCTAACAGTTAACCCTAGAATGGTTGTCCAATGTATTTATTATGTGGGGGATTTAATTGCATGCCTGTTGTTGTAACTGATCGCAATTTGTTAATTGCCTTACTCTGGCTGCTGATCACCCATAAGAACAGAAACAAGAACTAGAATCTTATGACTGGTTTTGGTTGGTGTGACATCTATATGAGTCCAAAAGCGTGATCTTGGCAATCAAGTGGAGGATGAACTTCTATTTCTTGATTATACACTTCTGGGGATATTTTAAAGCAGGATTGAGATTGTATTAATTGACTTTGGTTTGCAATAAATGTTTGTTTTTTGTGTGTTGAGTTTTATGTTATTTAAATGGTTGAGAAAAATGAAAATAGAATTCCAATCCCATGAGTTTCCTAAATGAGTTTTTGTGTATGAGTTTTTTGTTTTTTTTTTGGAGCGTGCTAAAAATTTACATGTGGAACATGTTATTATCCCTAGCCGTGGTACTTTTAGATTGCTATGCTATGATTATTGATATTAAATGTTTAGAAAAATGTTTGAGGGTCATAAAAACAGTGTTTTTGTGGCCCTCTACCATTGCTGTAAATGTTTTCAGGTACTTGAAGACTGAAGTGGTGTTAATATGTATATAAACATACAACAATGCTAGAGGGCCACAATGGCTCAAAACTGTCAAAACGACATCGTTTTAGCAGTTTTGAGCTATTGTGACCATTTGAGGGTCATAAAAACAGTGGCTCAAATGGCAGTTTGAGCCATTTGAGCCACTGTTTTTGTGGCCCTCTACCATTGCTGTAAATGTTTTCAGGTACTTGAAGACTGAAGTGGTGTTAATATGTATATAAACATACAACAATGCTAGAGGGCCACAATGGCTCAAAACTGTCAAAACGACATCGTTTTAGCAGTTTTGAGCTATTGTGACCACAAAAATTGTGACCTTCAAACATTTTCCATAAACATAAATAAGAAGGCTTTCTTTTGAGTTTTATATCAGGAGGATTGTTATGCCTCATTTTGGATGACGTAAAGACTGTATATGTATGTTATTGTCATTTTGTGTTGGGCCAATAAGTGTTACAATGACTTCGTATACCTTATGTATTGTGGATTGAGATTTGAGTTTGGCACTTGGTTTAATGGAATGAATCCACAGTTGTTCATTATATATATCCCCCATTTTTTGTTGAATAAATTAAAATTTAATCATGTTATTATTATATTTTTTTGGTCTTGTAAGAAATCTAATAGTAATATTATTTATATAAAAAAAAAGAACATGGGATGGAAATTGAAATCTCTATAAGATTCTTTTAAGAATCTTTTATTTTTTAAGCTTTCGTTTGAGAAATAAAAAAATTAACTTGGTTTTTTTGGCTATTAGTCTAGTACAAAGTGTTCCGTTTAAAAAGAACTTTTGATTTTTATGTAATTTTGCAAGAGAAAAAATAAAATAAATATAATTTTAATGTGATATTTTATTTTATTTTTTAATGAATTAAATTAATCCCAACTTACTTCCCAAACGAAACCCAAATCTTATAAAATAAATTTAGACCACGAGCTGATATATATTTTAAAAATAATTATTAAAAAAAATAAAAAAGACTTGCCCCTTAACTTGGGGATGAGATATAGTGGTGTACCTATCAACTGAAAGGCTCTCTTGGCAAAGAAATTAAAAGCAATTTTTTTAACCTTGTAAGTTTTTTTTATCACATTACTCCTCTCTTTTTTTTACATGTTAAAAAAAAAACCTAAAAAATCAATTTTTAATTTACTTTCCAAAAAAATCATTGTATGCCATTTAGCTTAAGAGACTATGGGTTCATTTGGGATGTGAGTTGGTTTTTTGACTTTTTAGTTATTTTAGCCTGAGCTAAAAAATCTCGTTTAATATAGACTTTTTAGCTTTTTTGACTTTTATGAGAAAAAAAATGAAATGATTATGGTTTGAATGTGACATTTTGTCTTATTTGACTAAAAAACCTATTTTGTATTTTTGTGACTATTTTAGCAAAAAAAAAAAACCCCGTTTAGTTTAAATTCTCTTGCTTATATCTCTAATTCTCTAATTGTTAGGTGCAATTCTTTGTTTTCTATACTATGATCTTCTCGCATCTCATCGTTACTTTCTAATGTTATTGTGTGTGTCATATTTAATTTTTCTAGACAAACTATACAATAGGTTATACTGCATAATAAACATTAAGTTATCTTATTTTTAGCTGGAAACCAATTACAATAGCTACATCTAGTGGTATCAAATCCTAGTCCAATCTTAAAATTATGCTAACATTCAGCATCTGGGTTACATTCCATCATAAAGAAATTATCATGGGAAGAGGGTATTTCTATTTCTTGGTTATGTTGTCCTAAAAGATCGTCTATATTTGTATTACTTTCTGAATCACTATCTGAACTTATGGCTTATATTTGGTATCCATAATCACTGACTATGCTATAAACTTCTGAATCATCACTCTTTATACTAACTATATCTTCTTCTAAATCTTTTGTAATATGTAGTCTTTCTATCTGTTTATTAGTATTAGGTTCATGTCTTTTCGGGTAGTTTTTTGCAAAATGATCAAGTTCTCCACATAGAAAACAATTGCATTTTTTACTACTAGATTTTCTAATATATCTCAGTTTTCTTTTACCTTTCTTTTCTTTCGGTAGTCACTTATAATTTATCCTATTAAAAGTTCTACTATTTCTAATGAATTTTTGTTTTCTCCACGGTTTTCAATATTTTCTCTTCCAATATTTTTCCTTTCTATATTTTTCAAATTTTTTATATTTTTTCTTATTATATTTAGGAGTATATATCATGCTACTACAAAAGCCATAGTTTTATTTTTTCAAATCTTTCTGTATTTTGACTTCTATACATCTTTCTCTAAGCCTTTGGAACGTAAAAACTATTATGGGTCTTATTCCTAAAGCTCCTCTTATATTTACTTCTCCTGAGGCTATTTTTGCTGGTAAGTTTGTATAATAAATTGACCACTTATTTTCTATCTATTTTCCTAGGTTTTTTGGTAATTTCCTAAAATATTTATTTTATATTTCTTCATCAAAACTTTTTCCAGTTTTAGCTACTATGGCTAAATATTATTTGCTAAAGGGTACACCATATTTCCAATTTCCTAATGGTATCTGATCTAACTCGGTTAATGCTATATTCTGAGTATAATCATTTCTTTTAGAAGGGTCGTATCCGATAAGCATTTTTTTTATAAAACTAGTAAAATTCCATGAGTTATCTCCTAGTCCTTTAAGCTGTCTAATTGTCTCCTCGTATTTTCTTTTAAAAGTTAAATATCTATTAAAAGTTGAATCACCTAAAAGTGTTTCCATATATTCCCACATATCAGTTGAATCAAATGGATTATTCATCTACGCCTTTACCGCGTTTTTTTCCCATTTCTTTATTATTTCTTGCCATATTTGTGGGTCGAATTTAGCTAAGTCTAAAAGGGTTCCTTGATTGGTTGCTAGTTGTAAGTGTATGCTCATATCTGGTTGTCTTCGCTTTTCATGAAACTTATACTTTTTATTAAGATCTGCTTTACTACGTCCTGTGTTGAATAGTGGTTTCCTTCCTCCTACGCCAAATTGCATTGAGTCTACTGGTTATTTTACCGTATACTGTTGTTTGAGTTCATATAAAAAATGTCTTCTACGTTAAGTATTTTAAATATTTTACTTTGATGTATTTTATTTTCTAAAATATCATCTACATATTTAGTATGAAATTCTTGGTCTAAAAATGACACTGCTTCATCATGGATATCTCCCCTAGCTATATATTCATAGTATCTAGTATCTAATATCTAATATTTTATTCTTATCACTTAGGGTGAAATTTTCCATATCTATCTCATCAATATTATATGTCTTATTTTATGATATTGTTTTTTCTTCTGTCATTACATAAAACTGATTTATCACACTATGATTATCTTGATTTTCTTCCCTATCTATACTACTAAATTCATCAAATTCGGATTTTTCTAGTGCGACATATGTGTATTGAGTAAATCTTACTGCATAGCTTCCATCTGTTTTTGAATATAATAAATTATCTTGAGGGGCTAACCTCTTTTGTCCTAGGAAATTTTCTAAATTCCAATCTAGTGTTGCATTATCTTGAGAATTGTATTTTTAGCTGGTAGTGCCTTTATTCCTTTTGCGCCTAATATTTCAACTAGTTGATCATTTGTAAGTCTATAATGGGTATTGCAATCTAAGACCGCTAAGCTTAAAAATCCTGTGTAAATTAATAAATTCTTTTCTCCTTTTTTTTCATTTTATAGCATCTACTTTTTATTCTTATTTTTATTTTCTTATGAAAGGTCGAGGTTGGTAAAAAAAAATTGGTGTAAAATAAACTATTCTTCCTTTCGAATTCATATCTAATTCATAGCTACCTAAAATACTTTGTCTTACATCATTAAACCTATCATCATAAAGACATACAAAAACTTTAGTTTCTAGATTTTCTCTGATTAAAGTCTTAACTCCTATCACAACTAATCCTAAGTAGAGGTATAAAAATGGCCCGTGACCCGTGGGCGGCCCGAAGCCCGCAGTAAGCCCGGCCCGTTTCAGCTCGGTTAAGCCTGGGCCCGACCCAGCCCAGTACCTTAGGCCTGGGCCTTCCATTTTGGGCGCAGTAAGCCCGGCCCGTTTCAGCTCGGTTAAGCCTGGGCCCGACCCAGCCCAGTACCTTAGGCCTGGGCCTTCCATTTTGGGGTCCGGCCCGGCAAATTTCAAAAAATAAAAATAAAAATAAAAAACAACTTACAATAGTTAAATAATTAAAAAAAATAAATAAAAAGATTGATCTTATAAAAATAAAAAAATAAAAATATTGATCTTATAAAAATAAAAATAAAATAATTGATCTTATAAAAATAAAAAGATTGATCTTATAAAAATAAAAAAATAAAATAATTAAATAAATAAAAAGATTGATCTTATAAAAATAAAAAAATAAAATAATTAAATAAATAAAAAGATTGATCTTATAAAAATAAAAAAATAAAATAATTAAATAAATAAAAAGATTGATCTTATAAAAATAAAAAAATAAAATAATTAAATAAATAAAAAGATTGATCTTATAAAAATAAAAAAATAAAATAATTAAATAAATAAAAAGATTGATCTTATAAAAATAAAAAAATAAAATAATTAAATAAATAAAAAGATTGATCTTATAAAAATAAAAAAATAAAATAATTAAATAAATAAAAAGATTGATCTTATAAAAATAAAAAAATAAAATAATTAAATAAATAAAAAGATTGATCTTATAAAAATAAAAA